TGTTGGATTTTGTTTTGATTGTGCCTCCTCTTTCTTCAGTTCTGCCTCTAGTGCTTTGTATTTTTTATTTATTTTCTTTCTCCCCACACCTCAGAATACTGTGTTGCTTGCTCCCCAAATGGTCTGTGTTGACATTCCCTGTGTTGCCTTTCTTTGGAAGTAGCCTTCCATCTCTTCCCTAATCATCTTCATTGCTTCCTCGTCTCTCAATACGTTGGTGTTTAGTGTCCATTGTGATGTTTTTTGTAGGTCTGGACCTTCAGTGTAACTGTACAGTAGCCTGATATTGTCCTGGGTAATATTTGTGTTTCTTGCACTTTATCTATCCATGTTCTAGGGATCCAGCATGCATCAATTCTTGACCATGATTGGTGTCTATTTGAATAGAAGGTATAGTCTCTGGATTTGGGACAGCTTGTTTTCCATACATCTATCAGTTCTCATTTATTTGCCAATAGAAGAAATCGAGTTATCTCATGAAGCCACGTCTTCTCCCTGCCATCTTGTAACAAGGTGTTTCTTTCATTTTTTCCTTCAAGGTTTCGGACGTGGTGCATCTCCCATGATTAGGAGCCATGCAAGTCACCAACTCTGGCCCCGGATGGATTGCTGCCGCCATCATCCTCCCCGAACCCCCCTCCAGAGCCAAACCATCAGCTGGAACAGGTGGTGGAGTGTTGGATGGAAGAACCTTTTCCTGTGATGCAGGTCCTGTGGGGTCACCTTCCAATTTGGCACTCTTGGTCCTCTCTCCTGAACCAGAGGATTGTGGCCCATGGGGTGAGGCTGATGGGGAGCAATCCCAATATGATCCACCACAAACTCCGATCCCATCAACAGTTTTTTCCATGGATGTGCTGCTACAACAGGAAAAATTACCCAGAGAGGTGTGGGATGACTGAGAAAATCACATCTGCCATCATCCTCAGCAGCGACCCCTCCTGTGACCAAACACTGAGTGGAGAAGTTATTGGTGCTCCCCGAGCCCTGCGGTGGAGATGCCACAGAAAGCAGTGAAGTGGGACGCTCAGAGGGAGACGTGTCCCTCCGGGTGGACTTGAACAAATCAGATGGACATTCCCAATTCATAGCTGAAGCCAGCTGGGACTCTTGTGGAGGTACTTCTGGGGCTTTCTTGCCTTCTCCAGTAGACCCTCCTCAATTAGAGGATCGTGGCCTGGGGGTCGAGGCGGACGGGGACCTATCCCAATGTGATCTGCCCCTAACTCCCACCCCATCCACCAATGTTTTCTTGGATGAGCCACCACCGGAGGAATTGGCCAGGGCAGAAGAGGACCAGACCAACGGTGGTGATGAGGACAACCAATGTCTCCTCCTGGCAGAGATGCCCATGGCTGCCCCACCCAACCTGGAGGGATGTTGAAACAGTGAGAAGATGACAGCTGCCAACATCCTCACCTGTACCCCCTCCTGTGACCAAAAACAGGGTGGAGAAGTTCTTGGTGCTCCCCAAGCCCCCGAGCCCTGTGGCAGAGATGCCACAGAAGGCCCTCCTCAATCAGAAGAGCGTGGCAGAAGACCCTCCTCAATCAGAGAGGGCAGAAGAGGACCAGACCAATGGTGGTGATGAGGACAACCAACATCTCCTCCTGGCAGAGATGCCCATGGCTGCCCCACCCAGCCTGGAAGGATGTGGGAACAGTGAGAAGATGACAGCTGCCATCATCCTCACTGGTACCCCCTCCTGTGACCAAACACCGGGTGAAGAAGTTTGTGGTGCTCCCGGAGCCCCCGAGTCCTGCGGTGGAGATGCCACAGAAAGCAGCGATGTGGGACGAGCAGAGCAAAACGTGTCCCCGATGGTGGATCTGAACGAATCAGATGGACAGTCCCAGTTCGTAGCTGAGGCCACCTGGGACGCTTGTGGAGGTGCCTCTGGGGCTTTCTTGCCTTCTCCAGAAGACCCTCCTGAATCAGAGGATTGTGGCCTGGGGGCTCAGGCCAATGGGGATATCCGCTTCCAGGACCAGTTGCCCTTGCTGTGAGTATATGAAGACAAGGGAGTAAACCAGAGTAGAAGGGGAGGGCCTTTCTCCCTCCCTCCTTTTTTTGAATTTGCTTCACAGTGGGTTTCTGCTCAGGACCCTGTCGGAGGATTTTCCCTCTAAGCTACTTCGTCCTCTTGCTTCCTTTTCCAGGAGGAAGGAGCGGGAACTGGAGTGGTGGTTCGAATTCCTGAACCAAGACCTGCAAGAAGCCATGGAGACGGAAGGTCAGGAGGGACAGTTTGTCATTTTCTGTCATAGCACACAGCAGGATAAGAGACGGTTTTCTTTTGTCACTCTTCTCTGCTGCAGAGTTTGGAATGCTGGTTAACTCTTCTAACTGTGCCACAAAAATGTAGGGATTTACAGAGCAGAATAGCTTCATGTTCCCCAAAATAGGCCACTCCTTTTTTGCACTAAGTGGCACCTGCAATCTCTATAACTCTCTCTCAGACATTAGGTGGAGAAAGAATAAAAGGTTAATTACTTGTCTTTGAATAGCAAACTGACAGACATGACTGCTTTCAGCAACAGATTTTAAAAGACGGACTGCTATTAGCAGACCACAGAGCAGAGGGAAAGAATTGAGCAAAGAGAGGCAGGGCTGGCTTTGAATTCAGAGGCGGGAAGGAACGATTGGTTACTGCTGGGTAGATTGATGGTCATCTCAGCCTAGAAAACTCCCAGCCACGCCTACTAAAGGCAGCATGCAAGACTGCAATCACTTCAACATTCTTTACTTCTTTTTCCCCCTACTCCTACGCTACATTTGGCTTTGAATTGTTGTCTTGTGATTCCATCTTTATTTCAAAAGGTGCTGGTTGTTGCCATGATCGTTTTAAAAAACAAAACACAACACTTTTTTGGTTGTTTGACTGTTCTGTTCAGTTTGACAAAATGCCACCCCTCCACAGACAGAGAAGCAGGAGGAGTTTTAACCAAGCAAACTGAAATCAGGACGAAGCCCGAAAGCAGTGGGAATAGTGGGAAATTTGGTCATTCGTAAAGATCAATATTTAGTTTCTTTTGCCCTTCTTCCGATTTCTGTCTCCCAACGGTGCAGAGGGGCTCAAGCTTCAGCAGCGGCGAGAGCAGGTCCTCCAGAAATTGCCCAATCAGAAGAGCAAGTTGGTGTAAGATCTGGACCTTGAAGTGACACAGTGAGTATTCCTGTTCCGGTTGACCGGCAAGAGAGGGAGCCAACTAGGGGTGGGTGGGTTTATGGGCAAGAACGAAAAACCCTGTTTCTTGTCCCATTTCCCAGGAACCAGGGTTTGAGATCAGTGGTTTCTCCCGTTTGTGGACACCCTCTCTGCCATCTGATGAAGTAACCTTGAGCTTAGGTGGACCCACAGAGCCTTTGGTGTCAGGCAGTGTCCTTTACTCCCATTTAAATGGCCTTTCATTGGGTATCATGAGGACTAGAACCTCCAGTTTGTTCCACTTGAGGGGCAATAAGGTGCTGTCTATTTCCCGGCCATCACAGGACACACAGGGAAATGCACTCCAACATGACCTGGATTCATGGCTATTACTTTTGGGGGGGGTTGTTTTGGGCTGAAGCAGATGCAAGGATCTCTTTAAGGGAGATGGCTTTGGCACTGCAGTTCAGACTCTGCTCATGACTTGAGCTCAATCCAAATGGGCCCAGATAGCCGGCTGGCATTGCTAAAAGGAAAAAGGATGCCAAGCTTTACCTAGCAGAGGGCAGCCTGAACATTAACAACACTGAACGCAGCCGTCTAGATGGTCTGTGGGATCCCCTCATGTGCTCACGGCCATTCACACTTGTTGCAAAACAGCCCTGGCCGGTGCTTTGTGTTTGGGTGAGAAGTGGTGAACAGCTGAAGAAAAGAAAAGGAATCGGTTTCTGGGTTTTTCCCCTGCTTGGTGTGGTGCTGGGGGGTGGGGGGAGAGATTCCTGTTAATCAACTTGACCATTCGCCTATGGAGTTTCTTCGGGATTTGTGGTTCCCTGTCCTGTTTCACATAGATGTGAAAAACATGAAAGAGGCTGTCCAGAAATTCTTGAGCTGGTGCCCTCCCAGCGAGTGCGGACTGCCCCCAACTCCATCAGCTTTTTAAAGATCTCCCAGGAGGACAGCTTGCTCTGGTTCTGTTTGAATCAACTTCTCAAAGCCGAGACGGACAACAGGAAAAGGAGCCTGGAGGGAAAGGGGCCAACACAGAGAAAGTACGGTTCCTGGTGCCAGCGCTCTGGGTCTCCTTCGGTCTCACCATTTTTAGCATCGAGGACTGGAGGGGCCCTGTATGGGACAGGTCGTGGTTTTGTGGGAGATATGCTCCGCCATGTATCAAGGGCCTAAACTTCTTTTCTGTCTCACTTGCCCCCAGGAGGAGGATGCGGCTGGAAGAAACCACATGGTACATGGAGCCAGAGGGGCTGCCCGCCTCGGCCCAGACCCACCCCCCACATGAGTCCACCCACTGGTGGGCGGCTTAGAGTGAGGGACGTTTCTGTGTGCCAGTTTGAATCAACTCTTCCTCCAGAACCCATGAGAACTAGGGCCTTGCTTTACCCTAGCTCGGTGCTAGAGCTCTGATCCAGAGAGGTGTCCACAGCTGTTTCTTTGTGATCACCGCACTTCAATGTAGTTCATTGTGGCTTGTTTTCCCCCTCTCTTCTTCCCTTGATCCGAAAGGCAATATTACCCTCGACACTCCAGACCACAAGGAGCCAGCGCCCCAGCGCCCCTTGCCTCATCTGGCGGGCCCTGTTGCACGGTAGAGTGCTGATCGCCTCATTTGGCCTGGGCCGGGAATTGCCAACCACCCCTCAGGACCCCCCAAAGCCCGCCCCCGCCCTGCACGTGGAGTTGTGCAAAGAGGAACTCCCGACGGATCTTCGGGTTGACGTCACCTCGGGGGATGACTGTGGGCCCAGATGTCCCCCAAGCTCCCGAGACTCGCGGAGGGCCGGGGCAGCAAGGCCCAGAAATGGGGTGAGTGGAAAGCTGCATGGATAAGGAAGGCCACCAGGGAGCGGGTTTGAATTGGTGCAAAACACACCTGCAAAGCACTGTGCCTTGGAAAAAGCAAACCCTACAGTTATGATGCGGGGGATGCTTGGCTCAGCAATACCATGAGCAAGAAGTCTCTTGGAATCATTGTAGATCACAAGCTGAACATGAGCCAACGGAGCATTCTGTTTCCATAGTGACCAACCAGAAGGCTTTACAAGAGACGGGGCCAGCAGGGCTATTTGGCTTGGGCCTCACCTCACCAGGAGGAGACTCATTTCACCCAAGGGGTACATTCATGAAATATATATCCACACATGAGCTGGTATATATTCTACTAATAAATATTTTCTTTCAAAAAAATTTTTTTTTGCATTAATTTTTTTTTACCCCTTTCCCCAAACAATGACGAGGCCTCACAACATGAAATATATATCCACACATGAGCTGGTATACAGTATATTTATTCTTAAAGGAAATAATAACTATAACCGATAAGGAAACATGCAGGCCTTCTGTAATAATATGTATAGTTATGTTTTCATACAAAAGAAACTTAAAGATTCAGAAATATAAAAATAAAAATAAAATACTTGAGGTGCAGAGTTAACCAAACACTCTATTTGCTATTATTACATTCTTTTTTCTTCTTTTCTTTATCAATCTGTTTGTCATTTATTTGTTGTTGATTTTTAAATTAAATTTTTTTTAGTCTTTGGTTCTTGTTCTATATTTTCCCCCTTTCCTCTTTTTATATGTACTATCTATACTGTTTGAAACCAAATAAAGTGAGTTTTTTTAAAAAAAAGATTCAGAATTGTATAAATAAAACCTTAGAGGTGTATGAGAAAAAAAGTTGAGATGCTCTTGAATGCCTAGCTAGGTACTTTGCTTACTCGTTAGATAAAAACATTATCTGATAAATAATTAGATTTTTGTTAGATAATATAGTCATTATCCATACATTATTAGAATTAATTATGTAATAATATAATTATAATGTTTTCTATCCAGATTCTTCATAGTATTACAAACTGCAAATAGCTCGCCGTTTTCTTCTGAATTGGGCCCAACGTATGTATTTTTTTTCATTTTTTAAAAACCAAGTTGCATTTACAGTCAGCCCATTTTATATATGCATATGGTCTCATGAATAACTTCACAAGAATTAAGACTTCATGAGAGCCAGTTTTAGAAACAAAGGTGTTTCTTTGTAATCACAATTCCTTCATCACTTCAGAGCACAAGCTTCTGTTTCCAATATGGTTCTGCAGTCTTGCTAATTTGGAGGGTTTAAATTGCAAGAGGAGGTTCTGTGGATAGAGAAGACACTTTGCCTATAGAAAGATTCCCTCACCACCAGACTTTACCCAAGATATCAGAGATGGTGCATCTACTTTTGTAACTTGTAAAATATGCTGCCTGTGGTGGCTGGTACATTCTGTTTAAGAGTAGGGATGGCTCTGTTTCAAAAATGAGGGGCCAGAAGGAGCTGTGCACTCGCAGGTAAAGGTCCCCTTGACATTTAGTCAGCCGTGTTCGACTCTAGGGGGCGGTGCTCATCCCCGTTTCCAAGGCATAGAGCCAACGTTGCGAAGACAGTTTCCGTTGTCACATGGCCAGTGCGACTTAGGCCCAGAATGCTGTTTACCTTCCCACCGAGGTGGTCCCTATTTAGCTACTCGCATTTACATGCTTTCGAACTGCTAGGTTGGTGGGGAGCTGGGACAAAGAGACAGGAGCTCACTCCATCGCGTGGATTCGATCTTACAACTGCTGGTCTTCTGACCCTGCAGCATACAAAGGCTTCTGCGGTTTAGTCCGCAGCACCACCACGTCCCCTACACTCGCAGAGGTGGAGCTTAATAGTGAGCCCATCATACAAGCAATGAGCCAAAGAAACCTGAAAGGGGATCCTACATCATTTCTAATATTTCAAATTTTCTCACTTTATCATATCAATATTGCAGGGTCCACCACCCTGCCTTCAGTGCTGTATGTTTGGAGTGAAACTTCAAAAACTACAGTAGCTAAACTGTTGGAAAATGGTGAGCAAACTTTCAAGTTCCTGAGAATCCTTCACCAGAAAGTTCATAAAATAACAGGTGGTAGGGGAGGGAAAGAAAAAGTTGGCAATGATGCAGCTGCTTCCTAAGTCAGCAGTTTACAGTGATCTTGGGACATGATGCAGAAGGAATTTTGGACATGTAATTGGATTAGTGTTTCAAGGTGCAAAACAGATTGTAAAATGTATCCCAATCTAAACATGTCTGTTGGAGGCAGAGGCTACAGAGACTTAAGGGGCTTTTTCTGGAATGGCAATTATTAACATGCAAATTGTTCTTTATTTAATAATTATCTTAAATACTTAAAGACTGTTTTTTTATGAAGTACACAAGGTAAAACATCAGTGGATGCCAGGTTAGGCATTTGGAAAACAACCTCACCAAGAGAAGTCATACAGTATCTTAGGTGGAAGGCAATGATCTTCCTTTAGTGTCAGGTTCCTCTGCTGAAGGGTTATACAGTGGTGCCTCGCTTAGCGATGTTAATCTGTGCAGAAAAAATCGCTGCTAATATTAGCGATATTAAAAAGCCCATAGAAACGCATTAACACCTGATTAATGCATTTCTATGGGCTAAAAACTCACCTTTAAGCGACGATCCTTCATAGCGCCGCCATTTTCGGTGCCTGTTAAGCGAGGAATCCTTCGTAGAAAACAGCGGGCGGCCATTTTGTTTCTCCGGCGGCCATTTTGAAACCACCAATCACCTGGCCGAAAATGGGGGCTTTGCGATGATCGCTTCCCTGTGATCATCGCAAAGTGAAATTTCCCCATAGGGACCATCACAAAGCGATCGCTTTTGCAATGGCAAAAAGTCCATTGCAAAGCGATTTCGTCGCTATACGGAGCGATCGCTATGCGAGGCACCACTGTAGTCGGTATTCTCCAAATTCACGTATCCATCCATTTGAAGAAAATCCCAAATGTCTGGAAATAACTCATGGGACTCCAAAATAGCTTTCAAAAACCAAGGTTGCATTCCTATGTTGTCTTTTAAAGGAATAAGCCACAGGCAAAGGTAGACTACAAAGATTTGTGTAGCAGAAGGAGGACAAACGTTACCCGCAAAAGATGATTTGATTGCTGCAATAGCTTCAGTATGGGGATCAATTCAATGTTCAGTGGATTGAATGTTCAGTGGATTGAAAGAGGTTTGAAACACTACTTTCCTGGACTATAATATTCTGGCTAGCTAGAGGGTTCTGGAAACTGTGTAGTCCAAAATAGTAATATTTCCAAAAAAGTAACATTTCAAAACTTTGTGTTTGTTTTTCAAGGATTCTCCTCATGGAAGATTCCTTTAGCTGAGTTTTGAGGACAACATCACAGCTCACACATTCAGCTGACCTTCCCCGCCCTTTGCACTGCATTTTCAGAAAGCTACAGCAGCTTCTAGGCAAAGGAAAAGGCAGGAAAGTTTACTTGTGCCACCCCTGTTGAAAATACCCAAACATAGATCCAACTCATTCGAATCATGGAACAGCCAGAGCTAATGCTACTCACAGATACATTGATTTTGAGTTGCAGAACTGAAATTGCCTTTGGGTCCAGGCTGCGTGAATTATTACCTCTGTTAAATTACTTGGACGAGGGAGTGCAGGGAATGCTTGTCAGATTTGCAGATGATACAGAATTGGGTGGAATAGCTAATACCCTGGAAGACAGAAACAAAATTCAAAATGATCTTGAAAATAACAGAATGAAATTCAACAGGGATAAGTGCAAAGTACTGCACCTCAGAAAAAGAAACCAAATGCACAGTTGCAAGACGGGGGATACCAGGCTCAGTAATACTACAAGCAAGAAAGAGCTTGGCATTGTTGTAGATCACAAGATGAATATGAACCAACAGTGTGATGCGGCTACAAAAAACAAAAAGAGGGAAATGCTATTTTAGGATGCATTAACAGAAGTATAGTTTCCAAATAATGAGAGGTGATAGTTCCCCTCTATTCAGCACGGGTTAGTTCTACACCTTGTGTGTTGTGTCCAGTTCTGGACACCACACTTCAAGAAGGATGCTGATAAATTGGAACAAGTTCAGAGGAGGGCAACAAGGATGATCAGGGGGCTGGATACCAAACCCTATGCGAAAAGACTGAAAGAATTGGGCATGTTCAACATTGAGAAAAAAGACAGAGGGGTGATATGATAACACTTTTAAAATACTTGATTGGCTGTCCTACAGAGGAGGGGCAGGATCTGTTCTCGATGAACCCAGAGTGCAGGGCATGCAACAATGGGCTCAAGTTACAGGAAGCTAGATTTCGGTATAATATCAGGAAAAACCTCCTAACTGTTAGAGCAGTACAACAGTGGAACCAACTGCCTCAAGAGGTGGAGACATTAAAGAGAATGGAGACATTAAAGAGAAGCTTAGACAACTACCTGGCAGATATCCTTTGATTTGTACTCCTGCATAGAGCAGAGGGTTGGACTTGATGGCCTAACAGGCCCCTTCCAACTTCACTATTCTTTGATTCTATGATTCTAAATTAGTGGCAAAATCCCTCTAGCTCCCATGCCTTTTGTATAATCTTGGTTAAAGGGGGCATGGGCCAAAACTGCAGCCCAAAAGGAACTGAAGTAGTCAGAGCCTAGAAGTTTTGAAAATGGTTCTTTTTATTTTTGGGGTTCATGAATTGTCTTTTGTTGCCATATTCGATGTTCCTTTTGACTATGATTTTATGTTCAATATTGTGGTTAACATTTGTTTACTATACACTGCCCAGCAAAATCTATGTGACAATGGCAGTATTTGTATATTGAAAATAAAAACAGGCAAATAAATATGAGAAGGGATGATCAGAAGGTTTACCAGAAGCCTTTTTCAGATACTGTAGGATAAAATCTTGCATTCTTTTTTCACTAAGATTTTTTCCCCAGTGGGTTGAATAAACCCAATTCTCACCTAACATGAATTAGTTATATAAATGCAATTAAATAGATTCAATGACTGATTAGCTCTGAGGTGATTTAGAAATACCAATACATTAATGATTCTGCTTAGGGTTTTTCTTCATCCCTCTGCTTGTGTTCTTTCCTTTCTTTAATGTTTCTTCACAATAAGTGTGAAATGGGGTATAATTTTAATTTAGTCTTAGTGTACTAATTGTAGCTAATGGAAAAACACTTTCTGAGATGCAGAGTGGTAATTAATCCTTCCCCCCTCCATCCTCATTTCCTGATAATTTGTTCCTTAATGTATTTTCAAATTGTGGGCTTTAATGGATGGCCATTTCGGTGTGCTAATTTTTTTTATTATATATGTACATAATATATTATCTTTCTTCCACATTATTGTTTCCATTCTACTGGTAATTAGCATTTATATCTTGTTTGTTTACACCTAAGGATGATTAAAACAAAAACTGATGGTAAAGAAAGCTACAGACAATATTAGCAGGTTTGATATTTTTTGGAATAGTCTCTGAAACAAAGAAATAGCATAATGGACATGAACTAGCCAATGTGGTTGCCTTTAGCAATTTTACCAATGTTCCTAGCATATTTATGAGAAACAAGCCTCTTTGAACCTAGAGGAATCTGAATAAAAACATGCACACGACTGAGTTGTCGTTCCCAGGGATCTGATTTAGAATCAGCATGGCATAATTGCTAATGTAATTGTAGCTTTTGGGTCTATAGTCTGAAAAAGTGGCCGCTCCCAATTTCCAAGGCCAACATATGACATCTGACCTCCACAACCGGGTTCTACTATTTAGCAACATGAGACCATTGCCTCTGGAAGGAGATTTTGGGGATTGTGAAAAGATAGCAAATAGTTTGGTGTGAATTGTTCTGCCCCCAAAAGCCAGGATGGCCCCCTCCCTTATCTCCTTTCATCTTCAGGCAAAGGCCTTCCTTTTCAGGCAGACTTTTAAAGAATGGGGAGTGGTCCTCGGGAATGCTGCATTTATTGAATTTAGATATTTTTAAATGTTTCAAAATTGTTTTTAACTGTAGCTTTAATACTGATAAAGGATTAATTGTTTTTAGTAGAGTTTGTAATGGCATTTTAAAATCTGTGATAGATTTTATTGTTGCGAGCTGTCTGGGGCCCCCTATGTGGAGAAAGGCAACAAATGAATTGCATACATGCATACATGCATACATACGTACATACGTACATACGTACATACGTACGTACATACATACATACATACATACATACATACATACATACATACATACATACATACATACATACATACATACATACATACATACATACATACATTGAACATTATTATGTTTACTTCTCTTCTGATTTTTAAGGTATGAAATGGAAAAGCTGGAAATGTGCCTTGCATCAAGGCATCAACTGATAGGTCATCAAGGGATACACATTTAAATAAAATGTGCGTTGGGCTGATTTTTTTTGTTTCTCTTCCTGCCATTTCAGATTGTAAGCTGTAGAAAATACAGTCATAGACAAAAATGTTTTCTTGCAGAGATCCAGAGTAATAAAGCTGAAGCGTTGCATAAATAATTCAGTTTTTTTTAAAAAGATAATTTTCCTCTACATTAATTTCAGTAATGAAGAACAATAACATGAAACATAGGCCTCATATTTACCCATTTATTTTAAAACATTTATCTACCAGAAAAGAAACTGGAAAAGAATCTGTACTAAAAATACGCTAGAAAAATGAATATTCTTAATAAAATTGTTCATTCAGTTCTCCAAATGTTAAATATATTATTTCCACCCATCCCACTGCTTGCTGTTCAAGAATATCTGCTGTCTCTTAGGAATGGCTTAGAGGCCCATAGTTGAGGAACAATCCAGTTCAGCACAATGTTCTCTGAATCCAAAACATTGGACTTACTCCAGTGTAAGCTCTTCTAAATATAATGGAGCTTACTCCCTAGCGGGTTGAGGATTGCATGACCAAGTTACATCTTTAACACCTGCCATAACTGTTTTCAGCTTAATGGAAACATCTACATCTAAAACAAACCACAGTGAGGTTGCAACACCCTGCTAGCAAGCCAAGAATTATGACTCTAGAGCCACAGAGTCCCTCCAGATGTTTCTCAGTTGCAGTTTTCAAGTTCTCTCATTATATGTGCTGTGCAGAGTTGGAGCCCCGCTACAGCTGGAGGGCCATAAGTTGCCCACCCCTGCTGTAGACCTTTAGACTATATTAATAGACTCCTGTGCTTCATTCTACTTTAGAGCACAGTTCATGAGAATAGTTTTAGATGCATTCCATGACAACAGAGAAAATGATTTTTAGACCCTGTCAATCCTGTTGGATGGCTGGTTGGCTGAGCTCTCTCAACTTTAGATTTAGACAAAGCATGTGTGATTCTTATGAAGACCCAGTTCTCTTGTGGCTAGGTTGAGTCTCGAGAAAGTTTTGCTGAACAAAACAAGTCCTTTTTTTAAAGGAATCGTGCTTTCTCCAATGATCATGACCTACATATATCTTCTTTCCCTGGCCAGTTCTGCACCTTTCTCCCAGCTGAGTCCCTGCTATGGTTTCCAGCAACCTCCTCATTTTTGCTGGAAAACATGGCATGCAAGAAGTTGTGGTTGTTACATGCTGTCTAGCCACCTTCAACTTACGGTGACCCTATGAATGAGTGACTTCCAAAATGTTCTATCATTAACAGCCCCATTCTAACCAAAGAAGGAAGAGCATCCCCTTGTTCAGAGCTTGGAAATGTTACATCATGCAGAATCTCTCAGTCTGTATGACCAATGGTTTCAAGACTACATAGATTTGGGATTTATGCAATTTTTTTTTCTGCTCGTAGTATCTAACTTGATTGATTGATTGATTGATTGGTTGACTGCTCGAAGTATCCAACTTGATTGATTGATTGATTTGATTTGATTTGATTTGTATCCCACCCATCTGGTCTATACGACCGCTCTAGGCGGCTTCCAATACAACACAAAACAATAAAACTCTTTATTTACCAAAAACGCATCTGGCTACCGCCCTTGTCTTTCTCTTTCGCTTTTCTCCTTCCTTGTTTTCTGTCTGCCCCTCCCTTCAGCTTTAAATCAGCTTGGTCTCAGTTAGAAATTCCATTTCCCCATCCTAGCCCCACCCCAATCCTATTTCTTCTTTCCTCTCCCCCACCCCTTTTATCTTTCCCATGGTTCTTTCCTTTTCTTCCAATTAAATAGCCATTAAGCCTGTATCAGCTTTCAGTTGGTCAGAAACTCTTTATGTGTCCCTCTGCGCCATCTTTTCTATTTCCTTGCATTCTTTCTATCAGCAAGGAAGGAAGGAAGGAAGGAAGGAAGGAAGGAAGGAAGGAAGGAAGGAAGGAAGGAAGGAAGGAAAAACAAATAATCTTTTTTTGATTTAAAAATATTCTGTAGGGTGGTTCTTAGGGATCCTTTGGGGCCATAAAAATCTTTGCTTTGCTTTGCTTTTCAAGCAGCACACTTTGCTTAAGCAGCACGCTTTGCTTTGTAATTGCCTCCTCTGGTATTTTTAGCATTATGTATGTGTATGTTACGAACTTTTCCAACAAC